ATTCTTGCTGTGGTTTTGGTAGACAAACGCGTATAGCATTTCTGACCCTTACAAATATTTGGACTGGGTAAGGGAAAAAGCTATAAGGTATTTAACCCTTATTATAGACTGCATTAACACTTTGCGGGGGATAACTGTTAGTGTTGTTCAAGGATAGTTCTTTCATGGTTTCTATGAGGGTTAAAGGTAAGATTTTAGAAAGCGTTAGCATAACAGTTCCTATTTGAAATCCACATTAAGGTTCCTTCTGTCTGTTGTGAGAGCGCAGTTAAGCCAGCACTTTGGGACATCCCAACCCAAAACTTAAGGCTTTGGCCCATGCCTCATTTGGTCAGTAGTTTTCCACCTTTAAAAGTTTTTTGGCTTAGAGCTGGTCACATTTTTTATTTATTTCTCTTTGTGCTGGGGGAGAAGGGAGGGTTTGCCGATTCCATTCATCTGCAGCAGTGACAAATGAAGCTCAGAAAGGAATTAAAAGCAAAATGTTTTTCTTTCAAGTTTGTTTCCTGTGCTGCTCTTACTGTTCTTTCTCTCTTCCCCTCCTTACTTCTGCGGTCCCTTCTCTTTGAATGTCTTTGCATGTATTTCCAGACATCTGATTTATTGACATGTCTAGCAAGAACGAGAGGAAGTTTCAATTTTTGTGCCTTTATTTTGCCATAGCTGTGAAACTGGGGCACTTCAGTGTGCTTTCAGACTTCTAGAAGATACTTAAAAGCCCACAAGTATGGGCAGGACAAGTTAAAAAGCAAAACTAAGCATAAGCTCTCACTAAGGGAAATGTTCCATCTTGGCATGTCTTATTCAGCAAGTTAGGTGAAGATATAAATAGTTTACAACTGCCATCTTTTCAGAGTAAAAATTCTTAACAAATTGAAAGGGCATCCGTCACCTTGTGCAATGCTGCCTGGCAGAAAAGCCACCTTTTCTTTATGCATCCAGCTCTTGTCAAAGTAGCACTAACCTAAATTGCATTAGGGCTAAAGGTTTCAGCTGAGGAAATGGTTTCTCATAATTGTTTCTGTGTTCAAATTATCATTATTTAGCCGATGAAAGCAAGTATTGGTGGTGCTGGAGCAGGAATAACAGTGCCGTGTGTTTCTCTGGCACAGGGAGATCCAAATCGGCTGAACATCAAGAGGTTCGTTCAGTTTGAGGAAGTGCTGGATGAGCCTGGTGGGAGGAGGCCTGGGAAGAGGCAGGGGTTGCCTTTGGGGCAGATCTCCTTGCCAGTGGAGACGCTGGCCAAGGTGGAAGCAATCGAGGCTGCCACGTGGAGCGATCCTTTCTCTGGCTGAGAACAGCTGGAGGATGTTGCATGGGAGGGTGCTCTTGGCTCGGGGACGTCGACTGGGAGGGATCTTTCTCAGCCTGAGAACACATTTTTTCCACTTGACTCACTGAGTGAAATCTAAATGAGCGATAAATTTCTAAAATTAATGTTGAATTGGTTAGAATAATAAAAAGTGGATTTATCATCAGGAAGGAAGAGCAGAATAAGGGGAAAGAATCTATGAAGAGGAAATCGCCACCTTTGTAATAACAAAGGAGGGTTGTGAGCAGCCCAGCACCCCTCTGTTCAACAGGCGATTATTTCTCCAGCCACGCAGTTATTTTCCATGGGAGAGAAATTTTCTGAAAGTGTTAGCAACCTCCTTTCCCACATGCAGTACACGCACACGTTTTTGTCTGGCAATGCCTTCCATTGAGAAGATAATATACTGGGTGCATGTTTGCATGGGTTAAGTCTTCATATAGGATGCTGCCTTATGTATATGTGAAAGGAAACAGCCCGCTGATTGCTACAGAACTCATTTTTCTCCAGGAACAACCCCAGCCTTTGTTTCCTCTCTTTGACTTGGCACATAGAGCAAGGAAGGAACATAAAATACTGGCGCTGAAGCAGAGTCTGATATGATTGATTTATGCTCTAGATATAGTTAAGTACCTGTGTAAGAGGAGGAGGAGGAGCTACTGGCTTTAAATGTATTTTGAAGATAATAATCATAAAAATATTCCTTTAATGATTTAACATGTATATACTGTATTTCCTTCATGCATTCCTGAAGAACTTACTAAGCCTCAACTGTAAGGTTAATTATTTTGTACTATTGTTTGAAAAAGTGTTCACTGCACAGACATTCATAATAATATTGAGTATCCCCTGGTGTAATTCAGAAAAATAATTTTCTAATGCAAGAAAATACATTTTGGACTGCGTGGAAGACGAGCTGTAGTCTGTGTGCTTCTTGCCCAGAAGAGGTGAGCTGCGTTCATTCTTCATGTGTTAAGAATCAGAGAATTACATACTGCTATAGCAAGAAAAGACAGGTTAACGTTTTAACATCGATTACATATAAACAAAACAAAGATTTTTAGCTCGATCTTGGAAGTAGATGTTAAATTCAGGATGGGTTTGGGTTGGAAGAGGGATATTTTTTACAAAAAGACTGTTCTTTCCCTGAGACCTAGCTTGCTAAGTCTTTCAGGTCCAACTAGGCTTTTTCAGTTGAAGCTTAAATGACTGAAGCTGATGATTCAAAATGGAAACGTTGACAGATTAAGCTACAATAAAATAGAAATATTTATTAAAAGTCCCTAAAAGCAATTTCTTTCCAGCAAGCAATATTAATTTTTCACTAACTTGCTTTACAGTCTCCATTTTCCTTTATGTTTATTTATGAAATCTGTCCCATCGCAGGTATGTTATAAAGACTGTCCTTGTCAGTTCATGTGATAAAAGGCTAATGAGGCTTGTGTGCTTGTTAAATTCATGGTGATGTGATGACTGTCCCTGGAAACTTCAAATAAGCAGGATAGGCAAAATGGAAAAATCATCTCATAAACTCTGTAAAGTTCCAAATGAGGACTGCTCTTCGTTTTGAACAGGCTCCTGTATTTTACATCACAACTACTGGACTGCTGAATATCAGATCTTTTGGCTTTTTTTGTGATGGGACAGTAGATTGCCTGTTCTGGGGGCAGTGAATTTTCAGTGACTGGGAGATAAAAAGAAGTCTTGCTTAAAGTGAAATCTTCAAATTTCATTTGCTCCGTATGCTTAACAAATTCCCCCCCCCCCCTTGATTTCCATCATATGAAACTAGTATATTTTATTTTGTCGTTTCATTCATTAACTGTTTGGTTGGTGACTATTAGATTGTATTTTTCATGCTAAGTCCTTCCACTCTTCTCGAACCTCCTATGATATGATGTGGAATTGGCAAGAAATGCTTTCCCAGTCGAAGGAGTAAATTCAGCAAATATTTCGGATTCTGCTAATTAAGCGAATGACTGACTTCTAGGGTTGAAAAAGGTACGCTTCACCTTTGACTCTACTGCCAGCATGTAGATTCATTTTGTGTAAATAGTAATATTCTTATTAGGTTGGAGAAAGATTGTATATGTAGTTGCCATAATTTTTTTTAAGTGCTGTCCAAGTACGCGGAGTTAAAGCCTATAGTATTGGTGCTGTTTTTTGA